ACTTGCCAGATAAATACATTTACTATTATGATGGTTTCGCAGGTACCAATTTTTTATAGATAAATAAAAATATTTTTTGTTTAATTTTTACTACGCTAATATCAGTTTTCTCTAACAAATATTAACAAAATATTAATTATATATTAATATTAATATAACAAAATTTAAATTTATTATAAATAAACACCATGGTGTTTTTTGCAGTCACGTTTCACAAATTTTTATTTAATACTATGTTTAGCTAAGACATATAAATTAAAAATGTGATTAATTCTTTTTAAAACATTATCTACGATAATTAATCTAAAAAAAAGTAATCCGACAAAACTAATTTGAATGGAGTATAATGCATTTATTTTAAACAACCCGTGGGCCGGCGCCACTGAATAAACATCCAAACTATTAAGAAGTCACGTAGGGTCTGACATAGCAGTGTAGAAAAGTAAGTGATACGCCCACTTCAAATCGCAGTATGCTATAACTGCGAAAACAGTCTTAAAAGAAAAATTTCTGAGAAAAATCATACTTAGATCTGTAACATTATTGCCTCTCCAGATCAAAATATTTTCTAAATTATAATTAAATACCATAGACTTAAGAGATCTATAAAACTGGATCACCCGATATTTAAATATATATACATGGGACCAAATATGAAAAAGTCCTTTTTTTATTGTAATATACAAAGTCAGGCAAATATGCAGGCTAAAAAGTAAGATATATGCGCATATATATGCATATTATGTTTGTCAAATATGCATGTATATGCATTTATTTATGTCAAATATGCATGTATATGCATATATTTTTTGTGTCAAATATGCATGTATATGCATTATTTAAACAAAATGTGCACTTTATAAACTATATTATATATGACTATTTTAAGCAACTATTTTAATTAGATAAATATATATTATATATGACTATTTATTTAAAAAACAATATGTGATAATATGTTTTTCAAAATTTTCTAACAAAAAGTTTTGTCGCCTATCTGTATACATATGTTTGTATATAAAAAAGCTCCGTTCTACATCCACCGAAGTTATAGGAGCGTATTTAAAATTATTTAAAACTTCAGCCTCTATATTTAATGTTTCATCAAACAAACCACTTAAAACATTTGCAACCTTAGATAAACATATGAGACCAGTATTTTTATCTATTACTGACTTAAATTTTGCTAAAATGTCTTTGCCAATTTGACCCTCAACAATTTTGCAAGATAGTTCAAATTTGTTTATTACTTTAACTGCTTCAATTAACGATAAATTCGTATCCTGTAGCTGAAGGATGCAACTTGGCACAAAATCATAGTTTGATTTTATGTATGAAAGTTGCTGTGGTAGTAATTTATTTTTCAGTAATTCTTTGGAAACTGTAAGTGCTTCGGAAGAATCGTCAGCTAATGCCATTATTACTGGCTTCAATTCAGAAAAATGTTCTGCATAAAACATTGCAGCCTCTAACCAAGTTCTCCATCTAGTAACAATGGTTTTGGTGGAAGAGGAAGATTGGGCAAATGTTCTTTATACAACTGAGTTCTTATAGGTGACTTAAGAAATATTTTTTTCATATTTGAAATTAAATTATTAACAAGAGGAAATTTATTTCTAATTTCTTCTGCGACCCTATTTAAACCACGCGCTAGGCAAGTTGTATGTACTAAACGCGGATAAAAAATTTTCAAATTGTTCACTACTTTAACCATGTAAGGTGCAGCATCTGAAAGAAACAGCAAAAATTTTTCATTGGGAACAGCTAAAGGAAGAAAAAAATTTGTTAAACTATCTTGCAAAAACCTTTTAACTATTAGTGCGTTGGTTTTATCCAACTGCTTGGAAGCAATTAAATGCGATTTACAAGCTTGTTCATTTTTAAAAGATCCAATTAATGAATGTGCGATATAACGTCCAGAAGAATCAATTGTTTCATCCACACATACATAAAAATAATTGTCTCCTATATCTAATTTTATTTTACTCAGTACAGCAGAATAAACAGAATCGACCTCGTTTCTTCTTAAGCTTCTTTCACTCGGAATATTCCATTTGCAGTATTTTCCAAAAAACATGTGCAAATTTTCGTTCGATAATTTAGACAAAGGTATATTTGAGCTTAACAATGCTTCACACAAATCATGGTTAAATATCTCTTGCTCATTTGATTTCATTTCCGATTAGTTGATTGTAAGCATCTAGATATCGAATCTTGCTTTTTCTCTCCCTATTCTAATTTCTGTTTTTTGCCGGTGTGTAAAGCAGTTTTGCAATGCTGAACTATTTGGAATTTTTTTTCGCATGGTATCTGCAAAAAAATCCTACAGTTAACTAAATAATTTTTAGATCGAGGGTTATTAAGGCATTTATTATGCCTGGTTGCACCAACACATCTTAAGCTTAAAACGTGCCTTAAGCTCAGCTTACGAAACATAAGCTTTATACTCGAAAATGATGGTACAACGTAAGCGAAACAAAAAACGGCCCTATCTAAAAGCTGAGCTTGACTAAGCTGGAGATTAAGATTTGTCGGTTAAACCAGGGATTAAATGTGTAACAAAATAACTTAACCATCAAAAATGCATATTTTTTTGTTTCTGGTTTAGTCTACTCGCAACATAAGGAGTCCCGTGGGAAATTCTAGCTCGCCGTGATTTGATGGTGGTATTATAGGTTTTTTGGTCGCTTAATCTAATGCAAGTGTTCTGGAAGCCCAAATATTACCCTTCTTCTCCTTGCAGTAACGTCTCCTATCGGAAGTTGACTACCATCACAGCAATTTTAACTTTGTTGGCTGTAGCTCTGAACAACTGTATTGAACACATTTCTCTTTCCACGAGATTTTTTCTTAGATTGTGAGTCTTAGCAGGGAGTACTTTTCTCCTCTCGTTATGTGGCCTAGGTATTCCAGTTTTTTGTTTGTATGCTGTATGGTAACAAATTATGGTAAAATTAGGTATTTTTCAGGTATTATTAGAAGCCCTGCAAAAAAATGATAGTGTTATCTTCTCTGGTGTATTTCTGCTCGCTGAATCGAATGCGACTAGTTGCGATTACTCAAAATATATTCTTATTTTGTTAATAACAAAATAATTGTTTATTCGCCGAAATGCTCGAAATAATGCGCTCTCTACATAAAGTTTGTAGTCTTTTTCATAGCTTTTTTAAGAACAAAATTTTTGGAAAAATTACTTTTTGAGTTATTTACGAGAAACCGTCTAAAACGTGTTTTTTTTTTTTGAAAAATGAGCATATTCGCTCGCAAATAACTCAAAAAATATTGACTTTGTAGAACAAAAGTTGTTTAGAATAATTAATCACTTAATCAGTTTATCCACTTCTGGACTTATTTTAAAGGTATTGTTTTCACCCCCGAAAAAAGAGGTGAAACTCACCCCCAGGGTAAAAACACACATCGGCAAAATATCAGTTTTTTGTTTGACATGTTAGATTACGTGTATGCTAAATTTAATGTCAACTCAAGTGGCTTTTTAAAATTTAGAGCAAAAACCGTGAGTTAACGTACTATAAAAACAGCTATTTTTGCAATAATTTATTAATAACAAAGTAGGGGCCCGGTTTAATTCATCACGACTAGTGATAATCGATTTAGTATAAAAATACTATCAAAAAAATTACAAACTTGCGGTAGATAGCGCATTATTTCGAGCTTTTCGGCGAATAAATAATTATTTTGTTATTAACAAAATAAGAACATATTTTGAGTAACCGTGACTAGTTAGCTTCAGTGACCAAAACCACAAGAGAAGACCTGGACCTTAACACTATCAACTTCTTTACTGGGCTTCTAATAATAGCCCTTTATTGGGGGTTTAAAATTAATATACCTTTTACACAGAAGATTTTCCTTAAATTTTTGTAATTAATGGTATACAGGTAGCTACAGGAAATTTTTCTTTGTGAACTTCTAAATAATACTTGAAAAATACTTAATTTTACCATAATTTGTTAATGCCAATTAAACGGGTAATATTTGGGCTTCCAGTCCACTTCCATTAGATTCGGCGACCCAAAAACCCGAGAATACCACCATTAAATCACAGCGAGCTAGAATTTCCCACGGGACCCCTTATGTTGCAACTAGACTAATTATTTTAATGCAATTTAAAATATTCAGGTTTACTTGTTAGTTTTGTAATTGTATTTACTTACAATTTTACTGCATGCTGAGCAAAATACTTTTCCCATATCAATGACTAATTCTGGATATGTCTTGGTCCACGCAGATACATTCACTTCTTTCGACATTGTAACTACACTGGATAAAACTTTTTATCACACAGTACACTCCAAAAGTAGGTACAACAGTAACTTGTATTTAACAACTCAAGTTCAATAAATAAACTTGGTTGAAATTTTTCTTTACCTAAGTAGGTAAATAAAAGGCCAATAATAAACCCCAATAAACTAATTCTTGGTAATTTTTACCTTCTATTTTAAGGTATCCATTTAGAAAGTATTAAGGGATTAAGATAAGAATAACATTTTATATTTTGGAAATACCAGGTGCTTATGAAGGTATTTTAACCATGAATCAACAAATAAATTCATTTTGAAAACCTATTATATGCACTTTATTTTTAAATTTACCAATATATGCAAAATTCAAAAAAATACACAAAAATATGCAAATGCATATGCATATGCACTCTTGCATATTTGCCTGACTCTGGTAATATATATTGGAAGTGAATTGAAAAAAATTATTTTATTATTCAAACATAAAAAATAAACAATGTTAGGTTAAAATTGACGTGTGAGGTTGTCCAATATTGATTACTCGATTACCGCAAGGCCGAGATAATTAACAAAAAAAGAAGATGTATTTGGTGACTTTTCTAGTAACTTTCTTGAGTGTGAATCTGTCTTTTTGGTTTACTCCTCCTGGTTAAAAAACAGAGTATAGTGAATCCAAGAAAAATGAAGTAAAATGGGGAGAGCAAAGGAAAACGATAAAAAAATTAAAGTTTGTAAAATTTAACAGTTTTATTAAATTTATTACATTAAATAAATAACCTGAATATAAAACACTAAGTAAAAAAAGGGCTAAGCATGAATGGAACATCCAAACATTTTTTACCATGTCCAAAATAGATAAAACCATGCTTAGGTGTTTTTAAATTGTGAAAAAATACAAGTCCAGGCCAATACATTGATTTCAGTATAACAAGATCCTCACTTTGAGTTGTTTGAATCATCCAACAACCCTCAGGTATATCGTTGTCTATGGGATCTAAAAAGTCTGTTGCGTAATTGTAATCATCTCTAGTTAACAGATTTGTATTTTGTTTTCTAGTAGGAACTCGCAAATGCAAAAATGAACTCCATTCACGCGCATCTAACAACTGAAGTCCTTCAAAGCCCAGATTATTTACTACTACTCCATCTGGTTGGCGAAATATACCTGCCCTAGGAATGACAGCTGATTCTTCCATTATTAAATAAACTGTGCTAGCAAGACGGTCTTCTTCCTTAAGTTTTCTTGTTTCTGACTGTTTTCTTCTACCACCAATCAATGTTTCATCTTGCTCTAATACTATTTCAATAATCATAGAAGGATCACCTAAAACAAAGTTTAGTTTATAAACAAACACTAAAGTAATGTTTTTTAATTATTCACATAATTTGTTAATTAAATTATGACAGATATTTTTATGCTAATTACAAAGTAATAATTTTCCAGCATATCAAGTAATCTATCCCTTGATATGTATATGCATCCCAAGATCTTTTCAATTATCGCACTCTAACAGCCAGCTTTAACACTTTCATTACCGTGGGGACATATATCTCCCAGCGGATTTTAAGAAATCTGCTGGCATCTGTTTGTCCCCAAAGCTCATTTTATTTGAAAACAAGAACGATTAACTAGATAGTTAACCGTTCTTTATTTGAACGTATCCGTATTTTTAGACATTTCTTACTCATTACCTAGTACTATACAACCTACATATCACGTCTGTAACCTATAAATTGATGTTAACCAAAAACGTGCATCAACAACTCGTAGATAATATAATTTTAAAGAAAATTGTAAAGAAAAAGTGGCTGCTCTGTTTTTTTAACCGATTATAATTTAGTTACTGATTAACACAGGTGGGTAATATATATTGTTTATTTTTGATATTGTTTTTATTGATTTTACTATAATTTCTAAATGGGGCTCCAGTGTCCCAGTAGTAGTTTATACCGGGTCGTATTTATCTGTATTGTTTGATTGCAGATTTATTGTTAGTAGACGTTTTCTTAAACAAAAAGAGCTTCAAAAAGAAATTGAAAACCTCTCAAATATTTCCGAAAACGAAGTCAAGGAACAACCTTACGCTGCCTCAGCGTCTGATTGCGTACCTGGTGACGATTCTGCCTCAGATTCTGATGAAGTACCTGAGAATACTCCTGACCGTGAGGATGTAAACATCACTGCTTTCGACAAAGAAAGTTCTGATAACGCGAAAATATCTGAAGATGAGTCTAAAAGGAATGAATTGACTGCACAATGGAATATACCTAATACAAACTTTTTTCCGAAAAAAGAAATTTCTACCCAGAAAAATGAGATAACAATACTAAATATTAATAAAGGTTCTCTCCCTGTTGATATTTTTCTAAAATTATTTTCGCGTAGTTTATTTATGCATATTGGTTCCTATACAAACCAAAGAATAGCAACACTTAAAAAAAAAACAGAAATATAAAATTAAATACGAAAAAAACAAATATGTACGAAATGATGACAGTGATTGGTTGTACTATGATTAGGGTAAACTGTGCAAATACCGGTCAGTGGGTAATGGCGGTCATCCCGATTGTGCGAAATCTATTCAATCTGGCAACCTCCTATAACTGCCAACGTGTCGCTACACTACTCTGTATTCAGATTGCTGACGAGCGTTGAGTTGGCGCAAACCATTGTCATACAATTGTCATAGAAATATTATTAACCTGTTTTCAGTGTTTTCGATCTTATTTTTATGCTGAGTAATATAAGGTCTTAATTCATTTTTATTCACTTGTAGATCTTACAATTGGTTACAATTGATTATAATGACGTTAGCTGCCTATTCCTTTTTTAAAGATCAATATTTTAATACATGTTTACGAGTAAAAAATTCTAAGAAAAAAAATGCCAACAGGAGGCAATGCCGGTCAGTTGACCGGTATTACCCCCATGCTATAATTTATACCCTATACTATTAATCCTTAGGGATTAATCCATCCATTTTTCGACATTGCAAGAAAGAATAAAAAATAAAAATCTTCAAGGTGTCTCATTAGGTAGAAAATCAGTATTTTCTGCCGAACAAGAAGCTAAAATAGCCACACAAAAAAAATATTTAGCTTAATTTTTTATGGCGTAACAGCAATAGAACTGAGAAAATTAGCATTTGGGTTTACAAGATAATTTTTCTTGTAATAAAACACCTTTTTCTTGCAATTGGCATTACAAGAAAAAGGTGTTTGATTCTAGTTCTTTGGAATCGGATATTGATATATCATGTGATAACAGTGACGATGCATACGAAGATAGATGCCTGGTTTACAGCGAGTTTGGCAAAAACAATGAATTGTGGTATTTACCGTTTGCTCACGATGGGCTTATTCAGAGTGCAGTGGATGGGATTCTGCAGAGAGTTATACCTGCGATGACTGTCAACTATTTTTACATTAAAACACATATTTTTGTTATTTTTTGTTTGTTTTGTAATAAAAAATATTTTTTCACCTTTCTTACTGATTTACTTGAATTATGACCCATTAAGCCACATTCGTTAATCGTTTTATAACATAAAAATGTTAAATAGATATTGATTTTTATTTTAATAATATCACAAACAAATTGACTGGCATTACCCACACTCATGACCGGTATTGTCCATGTATGGTGACAATAACGGTCAAAGATACTTTTTTATGTTTTGTCTCTGTCAAAGACAAAAATTTTATATTTTTGAAATCAAATGTATCTTGCAATAAGTTAAAACCCCAAATTACGGATTGACGGCTTAAATTTGATTCACAGAGTTTTACTTTTTTTTATATTAAATTTTCTTCTTAGGTGACCGCGATTTGCACACTTTACCCTACGTGTTACAATAAAGTAACATCTATCTCACACTACCGGTGACAAAACGAACCACTTTCGAATTCACTCATAAACAAAGGTATTTCAAGACATCGCTGTTTATTCCTGCTATCAAAGTCCTACCATAATAATCCTGAAAGGAATGGTAATACATCAAAAAGTTTTATCTTTTTTTTGTTGGCCTTTGCTATTTTTGCAAAAACTGTCTAAATACGCTGTTGAAGGAAGTGATGCTTTTTTTATAATATGCATATAGAATAAGTTTGTCATCTTTTATGATACAACTTTTTAATTAGGTGGACCAAAAAGCTGTTTGAAAAACACACAGTCTAAAAAAGAAAAAAAATGTTGTACTCCAGTTAGTAATTTTTTCAATGCTCTCATATCTCTGTTGATTATAAATATTCATCATCATCAATGGCGCTACAACTCTTCGTAAGTCTTTGCTGCGTTTACTATTGCCTTCCATGTTTGTCGATCCTCTGCCAGTAATTCCCATTGTCGCACTCCCATCTTCTCTAGATCTGTCCACCTTTTTCTAGGCCGCCCTACAGACCTTCTTCCATCTGGCCTTTCCCAGAACACATTGTTTGTAAGGTGTTGTTTACTGCGAATCACATGTCATGCTCATCTGAGTCTATTGGCCTTTATATATCTGACTAGACTTTCTTTTCAGAATAGAGACTCTAGCTCGTTATTGTATCTGCCTCTCCATTCGTTTGTCACGCTGTCTCTGCAGGGGCCATATATCATTCGAAGAATTTTACGTTTCCATACCAGCAAGTTATTTACTTCTCTTTTTGTTATCGTCCATGTTTCACTTCCATACGCGACTGTTGGTCGTATTATGGTCTTATATATCCGAATCTTTGCACCTCGTGAAAGAAGTATCGACTTCATCAGATGTTGCATTGCAAAGAAAGATCAATTTCCTGCCATTATTCTCGTTTCAACTTCTCGCTCTAATTTGTTGTCATTTGTGATTGTTGCTCCTAGATATTTAAATTCTTTAACCACTTCGAAGTTGTAATCATTTATGGTAATGTTTTGTCTTATTCGCCGTCGTTCTTGTTTTGAGACGACCATGTATTTTGTTTTGTCTTCATTTATTTTTAGACCGATGTTTAATGCAGCTTCTTCAAAGCTCGAGAAGATATCCTTAAAATCTAATGTTGATTGTGCTACTGCGTCTACGTCATCGGCAAAGGCGAGTATGATTTTTGCTCCCCGAGCAGTTATGTCTGGTTTGATTTTTGGATATATTTTTCGCATGACATATTCTAAGGCCAGATTAAACAACAATGGGGACAACGGATCTCCCTGTCTCAGTCCAGAATTTACGCAGAAAGCATTTGATATTTTTCTCCCTATTCTAACTTGTGCAAAAGAGTTACTTACACACATTTGTGTTACCGCAGCTAGTTTCTTGGGTATGCCGAGCTCGATCATTGCATTTCATAATGTTGCACGATTAATTGAATCATAAGCTTGTTTGAAGTCTATAAAAATCTGATGCACGTCGTGATTATAAATATTAAGAATCTAAATTTTTGAAGATTTAAAGTTTATTTTATGATGCATAATGAAGATAAAAATCGTTTATTTCTATACAACTATTCAGGAGACAAGATATTGTACAATTTACCATACCTATTGATCTTAATTACTAAGAAGTAAACTAGAATACCGGTATACTATTATCCGGTATACGGAAACAAAAAGGAATACTTGTGAACGGCGAAGTCATCAATAATTTGCGATATGCGAACGATACAGTACTCCTAGCTTCTAGTCAAGAAGATCTGCAAACACTACTTGATACTGTCGTTGAGAGTTGTAGGGAGGCAGGTCTGGATCTTAACATAAGGAAAACCAAAATACTTGTAATAAGTAAACAACAGAATATAAAACCGTCTATATATGTAAATAATACCAAACTTGAGCAAGTTGATAAAATCGTCTACCTTGAACAGCAATTAAATTGTAATGCAGAAAATCACGGCGAAATTAGATCCAGAATAGAGCAGGCTAGAGCTGCTTTTAGAAGGATGTCCAAGGTGTTATGTAACAGAGACCTAAAATTGGCATTAAGGATCCGCCTACTTCGCTGCTAGGTGTTCTCGGTCTTACTTTATGCTGTCGAGTCCTGGACTGTGAATAAAATCGATCTAAATCGCCTTGAGGCTTTCGAAATGTGGTGCTATAGAAGAATTTTAAAAGTTTCCTGGGTGGAGAAGATTCGTAACTCCACAATACTTGAACGTCTCAGCAAGACCACTGAGATCATAAAAAGCATCAAGCAGAGAAAGCTGGAATATTTCGGACATGTAATGAGAGGTCCCAAATATAGATTGCTACAAAATATCATGCAAGGAAAAATAGCAGGCAAACGTAGTCCAGGACGAAGAAGAACCTCATGGTTGAAGAACTTGCGAGATTGGTATGGTGTAGATACAAGCATGCTATTTAGGGTGGCAGTGAATAAAATTAAAATAGCTATGATGGTAACCAACGTTCTGAAAGGACATGGTACATGAAGAAGAAGAAGGTATACTATTAGCTTGAAGGCACCTTTACTTAGTATGTCGCTACCTACATTCTAATACCACGTAAGAGAATTTTTAGACAAAATGAGTTAGATATTGACTCTGAGTCTACTGCGCACGCTCTATCAAATAATTCTAATCCCAAGTACCAGAACACATTATTTAGTACATTATGTATAATTTTGCCGAAAAGGCGATATAATTTCACCTAAACTGTTAGCCTTGACCCTCGAAAATATAATAAAATCAACAGATTGGGAAAACAGAGGAATTTGTATTAACGGAAAGTACCTAAATCACCTTAGATATTCGGATGATATACTCCTGATCTCCTCAGAACGACAAGAACTGGAATTAATGCTAAATGAACTTAATGAAAAATCACTGCAAAAAGGCCTAAAAATTAACTTCAACAAAACAAAAGTAATGACAAACACGGAAGACCAAGAGGCAATAAAAATACAAACAGAAAAAATAGAACAGGTACCTAAATGAGTATATCTATCTAGGACAAGCAATCAGAGCTAACAGAGAAAATCAAACAGCCGAAATATCGAGACGAGTAAGAATGGAATGGACAGCGTTCGGCAAACTTTCTTACGTTCTAAAAAATCAAACAATCCCTTTATACTTACGAAGCAAGGTATATAACTCCTGTATAATACCGGTGCTCACCTACGGAGCACAGAGATGGACATTTACACAGGCTAATTTGAATAGGATAAGAAAGGCACAAAGAGCGATGGAGAGACAAATGTTGGGTATATTATTTAAAGATAGAAAACGTAACCAGTGAATCAGGACCAGAACAAAGACAGTAGACGCGATAGAACAATCAGCAAAACTGAAATGGAAATGCCATCAAAAAGTGGTGTCCATACAATGCAAAGAGATCAAGAGGCAGACCACAGATGAGGTGGAAAGATGACATCAGGAAACAAGGAGGTCCCACATGGCAGAGAACTGCTCAGGATAAGGAAAGATGAAGAGAACTGGGGGAGACCTATATCCAACAATGAAAGGATAGAGAATAGGTTAAAAAAAATGTATAAATTTGTAGTTTCGTTTTCATTGGTTACATTTTAAGTAACATGCTAGACGCATGCTACTTGCCACTTGCCACTTGGTATGCTAGTTTGGTGGGCGCTCTCCCTTAAATACGACGTATCAAATAAAATTATAATTCTAATACCGCATAAGTACCCTAAAACACACCAAAGCTTATCTTTAGGAATTTTATTATTACAAACAATAAAAAGCAAGTATGTTATAAATGAATATGCAATAAAACTATTTAGAATGTATGCCACAAAGGAAAAAATCAGATTTTTCACTCTCCTGAAAAACGTTACATTTACTCATACGTGGTAATTGGAATTTAGAGTAGGTAGCGACGGCACTTGTTTTGGTAACTTCTCTAAGAGACTAATTTCTATATTTGCAAACAGAAACTACAGACAACTGTAATCAAAACAACAAGGTGGGTAGTCCTAACGAGAATTATATTAGCACCTAAGCGGTAAAAAGGTTCATGGAAGGTTTATTATATTTAAGGGTTGTTTTGTACAGAAGATTCACAATACATCCTAAACCTAGGAAACGCAGAATATTTAGGTAAGGATTACATTGGGTGGTAACATTACAACGCAGATTTTATTGGTACGGTCAACAAAAATGATTTCGTGAGAAAATTTTTACAAAAAATAAAGTTATGTACACGCTGATTTTATTAAATTTAATAAAATGATCAAACATTGAACAAGATATAACGTACCGGAAGTTTAATTGATGACATATTGTGGCATATTAGAGCATGTGAGCACCAGGAATATCTGTTTTTTCTCCTGTCGCCAGAAGTTGAAGACAGTCTTGGAGAGTGAGAAACAGAATTCTTTTCCATTTGTATAATTCCCTGTGTGTGTATCAATTACATAGTAAACGCTAATATATTGAAAATATCTCTAGCTTCCACCAACAAATTTGGATATTTGAAGTAGTTGTAGAGTGGATCGCGCAGATAACTCACCAAAATAAAACATACGCCTTAATATCCTGTGAAAACCTCACAAGTTGTGGATTTACATCCTTCTTAAATCAAATGCTCGGAACTTAAAATGTTTTAAGTAGAGTTCCCATCGGTATATCGACGAATCTGTGACTAAATTCAAAGGAAGATCTGCCTTGAAGCAGTATCTTTCTATGAAGCCAGTAAAAAAAGGTATTAAAATATGGCAACGAAGTGATTCTTTCAGAGCATATATAAATGATTTCAATATTTACTAAGGAAAGAATCCACACCAACTACTGGAATTCTAGGAGAACGAGTTGTTGATGACAACGAGACATATCTGGTGACCATACAGTCACCAGATACGTGTCTATGCTTTGATAGGTTTTTCACCTCGTTTAACCTACTAAACGCCCTAAATTTTCCATGCTGCGGAACCTATATGGCCAATTTGCTTGTTCTCAATAGTCACCTCTTCGTTCCATCCTTCGCCTTTTCTTTTAATGCGGTGTCTTTGCTTGTATCCATAATTCATTGTTATTTTTAATTTTTCTATATTGGTTTTTACCCCTTCACTTAGTTGATAACAGTAATTTTTGCATATAATATAAATATATATACAGAATTGACCAAAAGTCTGGGAACGCCTAATTATCCCTTAAATGGATGGTTCGAATAATGCAAAAACTAGGATACGACTATTCTGCAATATAGAGATTTCAAATTTGATGCTTGCAGTGTTGCCAGATTTACCATTTTTCTGATATGGGTAATCACTTTGGTTTTTAAATGCAACACTCTGTATATTGCATTATTATTTAAATGCTCATACGAGTTGAAGATTCGTCAAGAGTCGAGATTCTAGTAAGGTAATTTCATGTAAACTATTGCATTTAATTAACTTAAAAGGTTATGTAGATGTAATTGTAAGTTAAACCATAAGAAAACTGATAAAGGAAAGTTTAAAGAAATACCAAGAAGACCGCATTAAGAAAATCATGGAGAAGAACAAAAGTTTAAAAACAATGAAGACAAATATAGGAAAAAGAAAACTAATCATGCTTAAAGCTGAGAACAATGAAAAAAGAGATCTAGGAGACATAGTAAAAATCACAGAAAGATATTACACAGACCTATACAGTTCAAAAAATGACCCACCACTATCATCTAAACAGAATCTCTCGAGGAAAATACAAAATGTTGGCTCAGAGGTATTACCAGAAATAACTGAAGATGAAATCGAAAAATCCATAAACGACATGAAAAGAAATAAAGCGGCCGGTAAGGACAAAATACTGGCGGAACTGCTAAAAGAAGGAGGAGACACGATAAAAAAAAATGCTAAAAATACTGTTCAACAAATGTCTGTCTAAAGGTAAAATACCTAAACAATGGAGAAATGCCAACACAATCTTAATACATAAGAAAGGAGACCGAACAGACCTAAACAACTAACGTCCTATTTCCCTTTTGTCACAACTATATAAAACCTTCACAACCATGACCGTTATTCTGGACGACAAATTAATAACGAATAATATAAAGTTTAACGAGGAGTCCGACAAGGCGATATAATTTCACCTAAACTGTTTACCTTGACCCTCGAAGATATAATAAAATCAACAGATTGGGAAAACAGAGGAATATGTACCTATTAACGGAAAATACCTAAATCACCTTAGATATGCGGATGATATACTCCTGATCTCCTCGGAACGACAACAACTGGAATTAATGCTGAATGACCTTCATGAAAAATCACTGCAAAAAGGCCTAAAAATTAACTTCAACAAAACAAAAGTAATGGCAAACACGGAAGACCAAGAGGCAATAAAAATAAAAACAGAAAAATAGAACAGGTAAATGAGTATATCTATCTAGGACAAGCAATCAGAGCTAACAGAGAAAATCAAACAGCCGAAATATCGAGACGAGTAAGAATGGGATGTACAGCGTTCGGCAAACTTTCTTACGTTCTAAAAAATCAAACAATCCCTCTATACTTACGAAGCAAGGTATATAACTCCTGTTTAATACCGGTGCTCACCTACGGAGCACAGACATGGACATTTACACAGGCCAATTTGGATAGGATAAGGAAGGCACAAAGTGCGATGGAAAGACAAATGTTGGGTGTACCACTGAAACAATGTAAAATACAGTAAATAATACATTGTAAAATTTTATCACACAAATGAGATAGAAAACGTAACCAGTGGATCAGAACCAGAACAAAGACAGTAGACGCGATAGAACAAGCAGCAAAACTGAAATGGAAATTGGCTGGGCACAATGAACGTCTTCAAGACGGACGATGGAACAATGCCATCGGAAAGTGGCGTCCATACAATGCAAAGAGATCAAGAGGCAGACCACAGATGAGGTGGAAAGATGACATCAGGAAACAAGGAGGTCCCACATGGCAGAGAACAGCTCAAGATAGGGAAAGATGGAGAGAACTGGGGGGAGACCTATATCCAACAATGGAAGGATAAAGAATAGGTTCAAAAAAAAATTGTAAGGCTCTGATGGCAGAAGCTGTTCATTCAAAACTATTTCATTATTTGATTTAGCTCTACCAATTTCATAAGATTCCAGAATATCCAACCCATTACCCTTTTTGCACGTGTGTAAGTAACATCTAGAACGGAATATGAATGGTTTTGTTACAGAATATGGTTGGAGAAAGCAGAGTTAGTATTGCAAAAGTCTGTGTGTTTATATTCCTTAAAACTCTCACATACTTTTTAAATTGTAATTATATTTTTGAAAAAATCTTACCTTGAAATTTTGTAGTGCAAAGAGGTGTCAAGGAAAGACCATTTTGAGTAGGTTTAGGCAACAATCCCCAATCTACACAATTCCTACTATAATAAAAAACTTTTCCGTGCAAAATATCCTTCTGATATCCATAAGCAATGTAATAATCCTTTTCGGCGCCAAAAATTTTACCCCAAAAATATATTTCCTTAAAATGATTTTCGTTTTGAAGAATCAAAAGAGAACTTTGTAGGACTATACTTTCTTCTGTACTAATTACATGACCAAAATATCCTGAAGAATCTAAAGTGTTTAATATATAATTTAAATTCATATTGTAAATTGACAATATCTTTGACGTCTACATGCATATTGGATTTGATTAGATTGTATACTAGAATTTGTTACACTAGGCAGGAGAAATATATCTGCGGCGATCTTAAAGAAAGTTCTAGAAAGACTAAATTAAAAGTTATTTAAAAGTAACTAGAACGGCATAAATGGTAAAATCTGCTGTTGAAACGTGTGGTTTTGAATTCAATTCAGATTAGAAAACATATGGTCTAGGAATCAATTAGAAGCCAATTCAGATTAAGCCTTAATACAGTATCCAAATGAAAAGAAAACTACAGTTGTTACGAAGCATTTACAGAGAACTACGAACGCATGTGTTCGTAGTTCTCTGGCATTTAGCTACTAGAGGCACAGAATAATAAACAATCAGAAGGGCCACTCTCAGATGCCGCCTTTGAAGTTTTTCAGCACGCGCGCCATGTTTTAGGAGGACACAGACATATGATTTGTGTGGTTATGTAATTGTTTATATTTATGTTTAATTATATTATATTTATGTTATTATATTAAACAATGTTAATATAATTGTATAGTATGTCTATGATTGCCGTAAGTCAAATAAACCTGGTTAATTTTTCCATGCACACCACATAAACAACACTAATTTCTTTAAAATCCTCCTAAAACATGGCGGAACGTCTGCGCGGAGGAGATGCGCGTACTTAATTTTCCGTGGAGAGTGGGTATTCTGTTTGTTTATTATTCTGTGCTAGAGGTGACTTAAAATTTGTCATATACTTGACATTTTAGTAGTTCTATGATATGACACTTGCACGTTGACGGATGTCATGGGACGTTACTTCATTACTTACGTTATGTAGGTTACCCATCGAGCAAAAAGACAATAGAGGGAATGTAAAGGTAGTGGGGGCAAAATTGTTAGACAGGAAGTGCGATCTCTAGAGGCCATATTAAATAAGGAAAGAGAGTATTTGTCCTTGTTTAACATCAAATTTAGTTGGGTTATGTTATTGTTTGTCCCAAATGTCACATGAAATCTTATTTATATTGAAGTTTTTTAACAATTGTGTCGCATTTTAGACTCTTATCATTAATAATTAATTAAAACTTTCTCGTCTAAGACACATTCTGAAAAATATTATATAGCTACTGTTGATAAGTGTCGGAAAATTTAAATTTCGCGCATTCGCATTTCCGAATATGTCCGCCATCAGAGGCCACTTTTTTGGTCTCCTTTTCATAAGGATTAGATTCCCTCTTTTGTCTTATTGCTCGATGAGGTTACCACACATATATATGTTTAATTAGTGAAATAAAGGAACATTAAATATGTTGAGAATGTAATACATTTATATTGTATACACAGATATATTGGTGTAAGAGTAAGCGGAACGCACCCATAGTGTCATGGGTTGACATGACAGACAATAATAGTAATGTCAATGAGTATCATGTAGTTGTAGGTGGTAGTAAGAAGTATGGTGGCTTAAGTTAGGTTAGTTAATTAGTATGTAGGTTATAGGAAATAAAGCCTTTTATAATAGTAGTAAAGTACGACTATTTATTTTCCAAATCCACACCTTAACATGGTAGCAGAGCGTGGTTGGAAAGTCGTACCTTTTACAACAGAAAAAGTTTGGTGCAGTTTGAGAAAAAAAAAGTGTGACACATGATGGCAGGTAGTAGTGATTTTAGAATACCTATATTCGATGGGGAGAATTATAAAATGTGGAAAAAACGTCTTATGCTATTTTTGAAAATGAAGAAGTGTGATGTTGTGGTAACCAGACCGAAAAATGAAAATGATGATACAAATTGGGATGACGATGATGTAAAAGCAATGAATTATATATGCGGTGCAATATCGGATCGACAGATGGAGTACATCGACGAAAAAACTACGGCGTATGAGATGATAAAGAAATTTGATAATTTATATTTGAAAGAATCAACGGCATTGCAGATAGTATGTAGAAATAACTTGGAAAGATTAAAATTGAACAACTATGGAGACTGTGCAACATTTTTTAGTGACTTCGAAAAAGCTATAAACGAGTTAAAAAGCGCGGGTGCTAGTGTGTCTGAAAAGGAAAAATTGAACTATATGTTAAACACGTTGCCAGAGTCGTACAGTTATATTGGTGATTTAATAGATACATTAAAAGAAGATGATCAAACTGCAGACTACGTAAAAACTAAGGTTATGATGTCCGAATTAAAAAATCAAAACAATGATTTTGGAAGAAAATCCAGTACATTTGTGGTAAATAAAGGTCGACAGGATCGATCATGCTTCCAGTGTGGCGAAGTTGGTCATTTCAAGCGAGATTGCAAAAATGGCGCCAATCAAGCGTCGGGTAATGGCGGACAAACGACAAGCAGTAGAGGCTGGTGGAGAGAAACGCGAGGTCGACAAGAAGCCGGAAGAGGAAGCTACGTCAGAGGACGTGGCCACTCACGTGGACAGCGCGGAACGCATGGAACAAGTGCACAGCGGTTCAACCGACAAGGACAGAAGAACGAAGAGCGAAACAGTGCTTCTTGGCTTACAACAGTAGCTCTTGGTAAGGATATGTCAGTTATTGCACAAAATACTGAAATAGGTAATGTAAATAATTGTATTGAAATAAAATGGCTTTTAGATAGTGGTTGTACAGACCACATTATTAATGATGAAAAATTATTTGATAAATGTAAATTACTTAAAGATCCCATTAATGTTTATTTAGGAGATAATAGGGTTGTAAAAGCTACTAAAATTGGAAATGTTTTAAGTTACTTTGATGCTTTTGGTAAAAAGAGTTTAGTAGATATGCAAAATGTTTTCTATGTTAAAGATATGAAATCAAATTTGATAAGTTATAGCAAAATAACAGAAAATAATAAGATTATTTCTCTAGGTAATATTTCAAAAGTTTTTGATAAACTTGGTAATATAACAGCAGTTGCTTTAAAAAATAATGGCTTATATATTATGAAAAGTAAATTAAAATCAGTTGAATTGCATGTAAATGTTGCAAATAAAGATATGAATAATATGAATCAAAAGGAAAAATGGCATCGTTTATTAGGTCATGTAAATTTTAAATATTTGAATATTTTATCTAAAGATCAGCTGTTGAATGGAATTCCTAATGAGTTTGAATCTGAATTTATGAAATGTAAGATTTGTATTGAAAGTAAAATGCATAATATTCCGTTTGTAAACAGTAGAAAAAAAGCTAAAGATATTTTAGAGATTGTACATACTGATGTTTGTGGGCCTTTTCGAACTACTGGGTTTAAAGGTGAAAATTATTTTGTTTCTTTCATTGATGATTATAGTAAGATTTCTAAAGTATATGCTATAAAATCAAAAGCAGAAGTATGTGATTGTTTGAATGAATATACGAATGAAAGTGAAAATTTGACTGGAAAGAAAATAAAGATTTTAAGATGTGATAATGGGAAAGAATATTTGAACAGTAAAGTCTACAGATTTGCAAAAGAAAGGGGTATAGTAATTGATAATTGTCCTACATATGTACATGAATTGAATGGGACTGCAGAACGGTTTAATCGAACTATAATGGATATGTCAAGATGTTTGTTGGCTGAAGCAGATATTCATAAAAAATATTGGCCTGAAATAGTTTGTGCTGCGGTTTATTTGAAAAATCGTACTTTATCTGATACAATTGAAAAGAAAACTCCATATGAAATATTTTTTGGACAGAAACCTGATGTTTCTAATTTGCGTTTGTATGGAAGTAAAGTTTTTGTACGAAGACCAGAACAGAAGAGAATCTCTAAATGGGATAAGAAAGCTGATATGGGAATTTTAATTGGTTATAGTAATGTTGGTTATCGTGTATTATTAAATGGCAGAGTCATTGTTGCTAGACACGTGGATATTGTTGAAGAAAACGTTAAGTGTATAGGTTTAGACTTTAACGAATCAGATAATGATAATAATGAAGAGTGTTACCCTGATAAAATTGATGAAAGCTCTGAAAATGACTCAATAGATGAAACTTTTGAAAGTACAAATGAAAGTATGGATGATAGTGTGAATAAAAATGAACCTGAGTTACCTAGATCTCACAGAGCCAAAAATCCTCCAAAGAAATTTGATGACTACTATGTATATAATAGTAGTATTTTTGTAAATATGTGTAGAACTGATATACCACATACATTTGAGGAGGCGATAAATTCTAATGAAAGTAAGTATTGGAAAACAGCTATGGACAAAGAAATTGATAGTTTAAATAAAAGTAAAACTTGGAAATTGGTTAAAAATGATACAAACAAAAATATTCTGGATGTTAAATGGGTTTATACTAAAAAGTCTGATAATACTTATAAAGCTAGATTGGTTGTACGAGGTTTTCAACAAACTGATGAAATTGATGATATTTATTCACCTGTGGCTAAAATGCAAACATTAAAGATTTTATTGTCATATTGTTGTCAAATGGGCCTAGTAATTGAACAAATGGATGTTGAAACAGCCTTTTTAAATGGTAAAGTAATTTCTGAAGTTTATATTAAACAACCTAAGGGTTACGAAGATGGAACAAGTAAAGTTTGTAAATTAGTTAAAGCTTTATATGGTTTAAAAGAAAGTCCAAGGGCATGGTATGAGTGCCTAGATACATTTTTGATAAATTTAGGTTTTGAAAGAAGTAATATTGATCCTTGTTTGTACGTTTATAAAATTGGAAATGATATTATTTACTTATTAATTTATGTCGATGATTTATTGATTTGTGGTAGAAATTTAAATGAAATTAAAAGGATTAAAATTTTATTATCAGAAAAATTTAAAATGAAAGATATTGGTGAAATTAAAGAATATCTTGGTATTACTGTTGATTATGATTCTAGTAAACATGAAATGAGATTGGATCAAAATAAATATATTGAATTATTAAGAAAAAAATATAATTTAGAAAAAGGTAAACTGTATAATACACCTATGGAAGTAAATTTAAAAATTGATAAATCTGATCATTGTGAAAGAAATATTAAATATAAAAATTTAATTGGTGCACTATTAT